TTTGACTGAATTAATTATTTACAATTAATTTTACTAAAAATTACCTATGTGGTAATTGATTTTCAATACCCTGTCATTTTGGCATGTTTCGACCGGTAGACACGTCAATGTCGGAAGAATTTCTGTCGGACAAATTTAAATCGGCATTTGCAACAAAATTTCCAGTAACTTAAGCTAAAAATAAAAGATGTGGTCTTGACTTTTCAAGACCCCGGGGAATTGCCATGTTTTTTGGACTTTTCCGAATGGAAAAGCGGAGGAATCGAGAAAAGGCGCAGAGGAAAAGTGTGGTAGACTCGTCAAAACGAAGCTCCTGGAGTTATAAAGTATGTGGTAATCAACTTTCCAAGGGGGGCCTGTACTGTGGACAATATACACAACAATTCATGTTAAGACTAACATATCCTTCACCACAACTATTTAATTTGACCTTCGCTGTTAACATTAACTAATAAAGAAGTCGATGAACGACGAAAACAATCGCCGGTACATAAATGGCATCGTCAGTTTTCTGTCTTTCCAGCTATGTTAGTCAATCCATCAAATTGGTTACCTTCGTTGTTATAGATCGTTACCTGTTCGCCATTAGCTTTAAGTTTTTGATAAATCCTGCCTATGCTAACACAAAATGAGAATAAAACTTATTGCGGATGGCGAAAATCCGATCACAAAGTTGTGTTACTGCTCTTCTAGCTTTTTTCTGTGACAGGGCTTAGACGAATCCAATTTCGGGATCCCTACTTGATCCAACTTTGATTAGTTTGCGACGGAATACGCTGAATGTAAACTAGATCGAAATGTGAGCTGGTTTTGTACGTAAAACAGTTGAAATTGAAACTGCCAACTACGTTAGCGTCAGCTCGTTTTTTATGACAGTACAAAGCGTGTAGTAATTTGTGTAAAACGCGTGTTATAATCAAAGTTATATTATTAATCGGTGGCATCTCGTATGTTTCCATTCTGTTTGTTTGCAGTGGGACGCTAATATACATTAATTCGTTTCGAATTGATATAAAAAACGGTGACATCACGCGCGTAAGCAAATTAGTAATGTTGTTATTACAGTAATTCATTTGTCATTGAAATATTTACGATTTTATACTTCTTAGATTCAGTACAGAATTTGCTCGTAATTGAATTAATTTAAATGTATTGTCTTGGTGACAAATGCCTCTCTGGGTATGAATAACACGACTCTATATGTAACAAACAGATTTAAGCGACGATTTGTTTTTGTCATGGAAACGAAAATTGGTCAAGAGTTTCGCAAACACCTCCAGTAGGTGGCCTCGCTTTTTTTTATTGTACATTGTCGTCTTGTGAATCATATACGGGAGGAAATATTTATACGGTTGGTCGAGATGAAGGTGCCGTCCTCGTTAGTCGTTATTTGCGGCAATCTGCGAAACTTAATGTCGTCAGGGGCGCCAATCTTACATAAAACGTCGTGGGATGTAGAAAATTACACCCAATTTTAGATGATTTGATTATGGATGTTAAGGACTCTGCTTGCAGAGTTATTTTTCAGTCACACTCGCGTGTTAAGGTTCAGTTACTGGTTTGCATTTTACATAATTATTTTGTGATATGGGGTTAGATTCAGCAAAATTATTAAGTGATACCTAATGAAGGATGAACGGAACTTCAACAATTTTACTTTTCTCTTTCCTTTTGTTCTGCATGCTCTATTTTACGAAATTCCAGTAGCTAAAGACAATAAAAATACAAAACTTTTTTGCCTACGTTAAGGAGTGATAAATGTATCGAATATAAACAGATACATGCATAAAATCAATATACAAGTCTCTTTGTTTTGTTGCGCTCAACCGCCAATCTCTATTAAAATTTATCGAAATAAAAATGCCACGCCAGATACCTACATCTGACTTGTTAATTAACACACGTATTTTATTTTCTAGGCCAAACAGCGTGCGTCTATGAAATGGCTTCTGTCGAAGGCTTTCAACAACAAGGTCCCCGAGAACCTGAAGGAGCCGTTCTATAGAGACCATGAGGTAAGTTAAGAGCACATCCATTTATGTTATTCGGGCATGATATTGCGTATATTCTGATGTAAGGTCGGAGTTGTTCATAAAGAGGGACATCCGGCCCAAAACGAGGAAACTCTGAAAAGGGTACGACAGGGGGGAAATAGGGACTTGTGGAAGTCTCTTTTTTAGGTAAATAGTTAGCGCCCGCAAATCAGACATGCCAAAGAGAGATATGGAATGCCTTGTCGTTAAATAAGAAATCGTCTATTGTTCAAACTATTGAGGATATTGTGCCTCAAAATGCAGGAATAATTATTTATTTATTTCCCGATTAGGCTATTATCTATTTACGTGAAGAAATCAGTAATTGTAACAAATTTTTTACTTTTAACACACGAATAAAATAAACATATTATTTTTTAGTTTTCCTTGCAAATATGATTAAACCGTCAACAGTTAGACAGAATAACGATTAAACAATACAAAATTACAACAAAACAAAAGAGCAGGGAACCCGCAGAATACAACCAATAGGGTTATCAATGCTGTCAGTTAAGTTTAACAAAAATAAATTAAAGCAATAAATTACATAGGTAAGATTGCTTGAGAAATTTGGATTATGCTGCGTGCACTGGCCAGATTCCGAACGCTGCTTACTAAGTCCCTGATAGATTGGGTTGACGTTTGTTCACGGTCCATGATAAGTTCGCATAGGTCTTACAGAGAAATCCGCCTTGATTCTAGACAAGTGACCTCTCCGGAATTTACCCATTTTTTTTATTTCGATAAATTGCAAAATCCGCCTACGGTTCGTTTTTGCAGTCCTCAATATCGTGCAATAAAAGCTTAGTTGTCGCACTTATCATGTAAGATACTATTAAAAGTATTGTAAAAAGTTAACATTTCGATTAACATTGTTATCAATCGACACCTGGTTCATCACATTAAACAACTGTTTATAAGTTGGGCATACATTGTAGTTGTAGATATATGAATTAATTCTTGGGATCGGATATTTCTAGAAAGAACACTAAACCCAAACAAAACCGATAAATTGCAGTTATGTTCCAGATCATTTAAAATCTTACAACCAAATGTTAATGTTGCTATAACACATCTGCTACACATTGTATTCATTCCAAGCATAAATCTCTACCGCGTAGAAAACCTACTATCCTATGGTTTATTATATTTCTTGAAGTACAAATACCTTAAAACAATTTTCTTTAGTTTCTCCACACTATTAGTACAGAACAACCAATTTCAAATGGGCAAAACCTTCGGGTGCACACATTTATTAACATAAAAATGTATTTGTTTATTCTTTATATTTTTATTGCACATTTAGAATTTTGTTTGAAATTTTTTGTTTGTGTGAAATTAATATTTTGTATCAAATGTTATTCCTAAGTATTTCTTTCACATATTGAGTTTCAATGAAAGTTACATCCTCAATTTCATAGGGACGTGTTTTATACTTCTTTCTTATTACCAGTGAATGATATTGTACAGCATTTACTGATGTTGAAATTAAGTTTGTTTGCCTTACATCAATCATATAACGTTAATATCAACTTAATAATTTTCAGTAAGAATTTCTCTATATATTTTCAAGTCGTCTGCAAATAGAAGGCATCTAGAATTGACGCCTGATATTTGGCAAACCGTTAATAAAATAAAGAAACAGTAGCGGTCCTAAGTTGGAACCTTGGGGTAAGCTTTATGTTCGTTTGGAATGATACCATTATATTTTACTAAGAATGTTCTATTTCGTTTTAATAAGACGTCTGTTAACTTTAACAAGAAACTTTTGAAGATCGATCGAAATCATTGTGCTCTATTTTCAAACGCCTCAATATGAGTACTCGCATAAGATGTTAAACACGATTGAAGTTGTCAAAAACAACACATTTTTGGAAACTGCATATAATGTTCAACTTAGGCATAAATAATAATAGTCCAGACGGTATCTGTTTCAAAAAGCCATATTTGGGTGAGTCGTATATCCACGGAGATTTTTGGCTTTTTGGCTTTCAAATATCACTAGAAATGAAAATTTTTCCATGCGCATAAAAAAAAACGTGGGCTTAACTTTTGGCGGCACAATATGTTAAAAAAAATCGAAAAATGTCACATTTTTCTTCCTATTTAATTATGTATCTTTTCAAGAGTTGATTTTAGGCGAAAATCGAAGAGGACAAAAATGTTTGCAATTAAATTTTTTACAAAACACGTCTAGTTACAAATCGAACGAATCATGTTTATTATGGTAAAAATCGAAAAAATCGCAAACATGGGGTTAAAAAACAATACTTTTTAGGGATTTTTTTTGGGGTATTTAAATTGGGTATAGGACCTTTATACTTGGCACAAAAAACTTCATGTTATGTAGAATTATCACACCAAATTTCATCAAAATCGGTTCGATAGATTTTTGCATATAAATTTTAAAATGTTATGTTAAAATGTTATGTATGAGTGTAGTAAACCATGATCGTAATTGATGTCTCTCTTGCTTTAAGTTACATGTCTTCGGTTAAGTATATTCATTTAACTCCTACACTTTACCGAACTATTGTATCTTTCTTCTTTTTTTTTGTTTTTTGTTCTTTTGATGTTATTGAGTTTTTTATATTTATATTATGTACTATTTCAATGTAATTTAGCTCTATAAATGGAATTACTTCTGTTGGGCTAATAAATTATTATTATTATTATTATTATTATTATTATTATTAAACAAAAAATCCAGATCCATTATGGATG